GGGGTGGGGGGTGGGGACGCTGACAAGGCTGAGTACCACCCTCCCACACCCCAGTGTGAAGCCAGTCTGGGGGTCCCCGGGGAGAAATCCCCTCAGGCCTCGGTGATTTCCGCCCCCCGCCCCCACCACAGGTAGGCCGAGCGCCGCACCTGGCGGCCGCGGCCCGCTCTAATTGGCGGGAAACCGACCCCCGGGGCCTCCCCGGATGACGAGACTCAGTACCACCACCCCCCCCCGCCAGGGTGGTACCCCCGAGAAATCCTCTCTCTCACTCCTCCTCCGCGGCGTTCTCCTCACACACACGCACACTCACCTTCCTCAGCCGCCGCCTCCCGCCTGCAGCCCGCCCAGCCTGGCCCCGCCCCGCCGCTCCCCGCCCCGCCCCGCCACCTGGAGCCCCGCCCCCGCGACCGTTAGGGCCGGCCGACGGAGGCCGGCTAGCCGAACCCGAGCGTGACGTTCGGCCTCGCCGCTGCTCGGCCCCGCCCCTCGCGAACGATTCTCTCGGGCTTCACTAGGAAGGATGGAGTTGGATCCGCCCACACCGCCTTCCTATTGGCTCCTCTTCTAAGGCGGGACTTAATACCTACGTAAACGTGGTTCTGCTCTTGCGGCGATAGGCTGCCAGGTGCTGTCACTCACCAACGAGAGGCGCGTCGTTGGGAGGCGCCGGAAGTGGGTGGTGGTTTGTTTGTTTGTTTTTTTAAATGGCTGCAGGTGAACGTGATTGCTGAGCGGCTCGTGTGTCTCCTCCCGCGCCAGCATGTCCTTGACGTCCCCGGCTTGGGCTGTGCGCAGGATCCGCTGGCCTTTGCGGGACCTGTAGTCTATACATGGTGTGTGGATAGCCTTCCCTTCTCCCAGAGGCCCACCAAGAGTTAGGCCCAGCCAGACGTCGGACTGCGGAGAGGCCGAAGATGCCACGTGTAGTTCTGGACACGACCCTCAGGACGCCCTTAGGCTAAGCCTGATCCGTGGACAAGGTGTGGAAGGGACCGGGATTGAAATAGTGGCTGCCGAGGCCCCGGGGTGGGGGGTCCACCCCCCGCTGCTGCCGACGCGAATCGCCCGAGAGGCTTCGGAAGCTGTGGTGTGGCAGCTCCCGCTGATCCCAGGCTCTCAGGGATGGGCTCAGGGGTGGGGGGTCTGGAGGCCCCCCCCACGTGACTGCACGGGGGCGAACCCCATCCTACAGGGATAGTTAGGGATGAGTCCAGACCGGAGAGCCAAACGTGTGCAGAGCTAAGATCCCCATCCCGCAGCACTTGGATCGGCGAGTGCTCAGTAGAACCGTACCTGTAAAGATGTATTTCTGTCTCACCGGGCGCTGGTGGTTCGATGCCTGTGATGGTCACCTCTTCGGGGGTGCGGGGCGGCTGAGATCTGTAAAGATCGCAGATCGAAGCCAGCCCGGGCAAGAAGGTCCTGGACACTTGCAGTTAACCAGCAAAAAAAAAAAAAAATGATGGAAGTGTGTGGTTCAAGTGGCAGAAGCACCAGTTTTTAGCCTCCTCCCCCCCCCAATAAAAAAGCTCAGAGACAGCGCTTAGGGCTTGAGTTCCAACCCCAGGACCAGCACCGAGGAAAAAAATTAAGGGGGTGAGAGAAGTCGGGGGGGGGTCGGAGTGCTCCCTAGAGCGGTGCTGGGGAGCCAGTGCCACGTTCGGGTTTGTTCATGGCCGCAGGGCCTTAGGGAGCGGAGCAGGGCCGGGGCGGAAGGCCAGGGCCGGGGGACGGGCCGAGGGGGTGGGGGTTGGGTCCGGGGTGCGCTGGGGCGCCCCGGGAGACCCGGAGCGTGACGCCCCGCCTCGCGCCGGCCGGGCCTTGCGCGCCGCGGGCTCCCGGCGGAGGCCGCGCGGCCTAAAAGGATCGGAATCAACCGGTGTCTCCCAGCGCCCATCCCATCCCCGCAGCTCACCGCGCACAGGTGAGATCGCGGCCCGCCCGTCCCCCACACACACCCTTGGTCAAGTCCTAGCTCCCCTTGGCGGCGACGGGCGCGGGGCAGAGACCCCCCCCAGGGGTGGATGGGGGGGACGGCGGTGCAACGGAGTGTCGGGGTTGACGTCGGGGTGGGGTGGGGAGGGGAGAGAGTCCTGCCCCGTCCCCCCACCCCACCCCGCTGTGGCCTCCGACTTGTTTGCACCCCATTAAAGGTCAGACCCGTCGCTGGGGGAAACCTTGGAGCTGAAAGATCCCGGGGCGGGGGGGGGCGGGGGACGGGGGGGACGGATGGGCCCCTCGGGTCTGCCTGGCCCCCTGGCCAGCACGATCAGAATGAATGATTTTGCACAACCTGGGTCCTCAAGGACCCGGACCCGGCCTCCTCCTCCTCCTCTTCTTCTCCTTCTTCTTTCTCTTCTTCTCCTTCTTCTTTCTCCTTCTCCTCCTCTTCCTCCCTCCTCCTCCTCCTTCTCACTGTCTCTCCCTTCTTGATCACCCAGGCGCTACGCCTTCCTCCTCCTCCTCCTCCTCCTCCTCCTCCTCTCCCCCTCCTCCTCCTCCTCTTCTTCCTCCTCCTCTTCCTCTTCCTCCTCCTTCTCCCCCCCAATATGGTTCTCCATTTGTGTGTGTGTGTGTGTGTGTGTGTGAGTGTGATAACTACTCGCATTCTGAATGAATATAGACAATGCCATGTGTATCTAAAACTGAGTTCCTACCAGATAACGACAGACATTTCTGATTACTCCTATGCAAAGAGGAGAAATTGGGGACAGGGATAGATGTGATCAGACCCCAAGGAACACGACCAGCGTGGAACTTACTATTATTTTTGACAACCTACAGTCCAGTTTGTCCACTGCATGTGTGCTGTAAGCCAGGCTCCGGTGACTCATGCTGACTATCCCAGCTAAGACTCGGGAGGCTGAGGTTGGGAGGATGGCATCCCATAAGCTCCAGGCCAGACCAGGCAAAACAACAAGACCCCAGTTCTTTCAGCAGAGAAGTTGAGTATGGTAGCGTGTGCCTGTTGTTCCAGCTGTGGTGGGAATTGCAAATATTGTCTCGGTTCAGGTCGGCCTAGGCAGAAAGCAAGACCCTATCTCAAAAATAACCATAGGAAAAAACTTGTTTTAAAAAGGTATAGAAGTGTGATTTAAGTAGTAGTTTGTCTGCCTAGCTGGCACAAAGCCCTGAGTTTAAATCCCAGTACTGACAATGATGTGTATAGGACATTTTTTAAAAATTATGGTAAAGATATATAACATAAATGTACCAGTTGTTGTTTGATCGGTTGTGGGACTTGAATTCAGGGCCTGGGTGCTGACCCTGAGCCTCTCAGTGCTCAACACCAGTGCTCTACCACTTGAACCACAGTACCACTTCCGGTTTTTGAGTCGTTAATCGGAGATGAGACTTATAGGGGACCTTTCTGCCAGGGCTGTCTTTGAACCTGGATCCTCAGATCTCAGCCTCCTGAGTAGCTAGGATTACAGGCATGAACCACCAGTGCCCGGCAAATGTACCAGTTTTAAGACAAATGTACCAGTTGTAAGGGTACATTGCAGTGGCATTATGTACATGCATAATGTTGTTCCTCCATCATCATTTTCCAAAACTTTGTCAGCCCCTTAAATACAGGCACTGTACCCATGGAGCCATACCTCCCTCTCCTCCTTTTGCCCCCAATCCCTGGTAACTGCTGATCTACTTTCTGCCTGGATGAATTTGCATATTCTAGAGAGCTTATGTAAGAGGATGGAGGTTCGAGGCCAGCCCCAGCAAAAAGTTACCAAGACCTCCATCTCAACAAAATAAACCAGGCATAAGAGTGATCACACCTGTGGGCCTAGCTCTGTGGGAGGTCATAGGTAGGACGGCAGCCATGGTTCAGGCTACCAGGGAGAGAAAAAAAAAATTTGAGACTGTCTCAAATACATTACTTGTTGAAATTGTTTCGGGAAGCGGGTGGGGGAGGGGGCAGCGGATAAGAGAAGGTAGAATGGTAAAAGGGGTGAAATTGATTTTAAAAAACAGTGTGGAGGGCTGGGAATGTGGCTTAATGGTAGCATGCTTGCATAGTATGCATGAAGCCCTGGGTTTGATTCCTCAGCACCACATGAACAAGCCAGAAGTAGTGCTGTGGCTCAAGTGGTGGAGTGCTAGTCTTAAGCAAAAAGCAGCTCAGGAAAAATGTAACAATAAACCCCAATATTGGGGTTTGGGGCTGGGAAGGTGGCTCAGTGGTAGAGTGCTTGCCTTGCATGCTTGAGGCCCTGGGTTTCATTCCTCAGCACCCCATAAGCAAAAATGAAAAAAAAAGCCGGAAGTGGTGCTGTGGCTCAAGTGGTAGAGCGCTAGCCTTGAGCTGAAGAGCTGAGCGACAGCGCCCAGGCCCAGAGTTCAGGCCCCACGACCGGACCCAAAAAAAAAAACAGCGTGGAAATGTAATGGTGAATTCTTCCCCTGCAGAACTCATTCCAGCTAAGTGACTGAATGGATAAGATAAATAAAAGCAAGCACGAAAAGGACTGGCAGTATGGTTGTAGTGGTAGAGTACCTGCTTAGCCAGTGTGAGGTCCTGAGCTCAAAACCTAGTGCCATAAAAGAAAAAAAAGAAAAACCTGATTTTTAGGTAGTCTTACTTTCAGGTTTGAACACTGCATTGCTGAACTTTCTAGAATCTCATAGAGCAAAATTCAAGTGCTCTCCCTAAATCCCCTCTGATTTATATAGGATGGTTTATCTAGTTTACAGTATGCTATTTGGCTTTTTCTCCTGCTTTGAATAGAATGTTTTCCTTTTCTTTCTAAATGATTATAGGATAGTTTCCAGTTCCCTAGGAAAAATCTTAGTTTTTTGTTTTTTTGGGGTTTTTTTTGTCAGTTGTGGGGCTTGAACTCAGGGTCTAGACACGGGCCCTGAGCTTCTTTTTGCTCACAGCTAGTGCTCTACCACTTTGAGCCACAGTGCCACTTCTGGTTTTTGAGTGGTTAATTGGAGATAGGAGTTTCACAGGGACTTTTGTACCTAGGCTGGCTTCAAACCATGATCCTCAGATCTCAGCCTCTTGAATACCTAGGATTACCAGCGTGAGCCACTGGCGCCCAGCACTACCTGGTAACTTGTGTGCATTCAGTACCGGCACTATTAAGTTGATTGTGCTTAATTGAGTGATCTAAGTTTATTCTTAGATAAAGAGCTGGCATAAATACCCCTGGCCATTTCCCCTAAATTCATCACTTCTTGGTGATGGGGGTGGGGTGGGGTGGAGGGGAAGTGGGAGTGGATTGTTATTTAACCCTTCTAAAATGCCCTGTGAAGACAGCTTGTCCAGAGGCATCATGTTTATCTTAAGAGTTTCCTGTAGTCCCTGAGGCGTGCCTCAATTCTTTGGGGTTTTGAGAAGCACAGAA